GGGGGACAGATACTGATGACGAATGGGGTGGAAGATTTCTTCAGATTTCTAACAAAAACAGACCTGACCTGACTTGRCACAGCGACAGATCTCAGCTGATGAATGTGACACATCTTGTGAGCCYAAGTCTTCCTCATAGGTCCACAGCCGGTATCTGCAAAACTGTCTGTCAGATGGAMTTTTCCCACTGTCTAGGTTTGTTCCTGCATTTCTGCTCACACAAAGCTGTAACTGTTCTGCAACGTCAGCTTTTTTATTTATTTATTTTTTACAATTCCATGTTCTTTGTGTTTGCACTTGCTTGCTTTTTTGCCTCTGGAAACATGCTGGTTCAGTTACAAACAACTACTTAGAGATGATAGAGGACATCACAGGACATGTTGGTGGTGTTTATTTTTTATAATTGTCTGCTAACAGGCCAGGAAAAAGACACGGATTAAATTTCAGTGGTGATGAAACATGACAGATAAATAGGTTTTCCACATGAATAGCTTACGCTGAATGCTTGTGTGAATGTGAAAAAAATAATTGAAGAAAGGTTTCCTCTTTAAATTAATGGTTTGGATCATTTTTAACTTAGTTAGCAGAAAGGTGTATGAACAATTATTATCTCTGTAGATACAAAGAGGTATACCACTTTTAGAAATAGAAGGYACCTTCAAAAACACTTTAAGTCGAGGCTGAGATGCCTTCTAGATGCCTAAATGTGATTTCTGAATGGACAGAATTGGCAAGAGTGGGTCAAAGTCAGCCCACCCCTGATGTCCCAGAGGTGGAACCCTTTACATGAGAATGAGGCTGTGTCTCAATTCATGGGCTGCGTCCTCATGAGGACCCAGCCTAGCTGGGCCACGTCCTCGCTGGGCCTGGTGGGTAGGGTAGGWWGCTCAAAACTGMTGTGAAATGAGACGGTCTACCCTTCGCCTGAYGTCGGCTTCACGTGAGTTTGCTTGACCACGTGCTCTCCCGTTACCATAGTGATCAGTTTCATGTCAGACTTAAAATGCGTCGAAACATGTATTTACACGTTTTTTTACTGGAAATAAATAAAAACTAATAATTCGAGTTTAGCTCCAGTATCTACAACGGAGTATTTTGGGCCACAGATTTGTTTTTATTATTATTGTGGAAATAAAGTCATAATATCATGAGAATAAAGTCGTAAAATTACGGGATAAAAAGTCATAATCCCACATGACATGTCCATTTTTCGTTCATTTCCTCCTTATTTTCCTCACACCTGCTGTGTACAGCCATGTGTCTGTGTTTATAAAGTGGTTCATGATGACTCGGGTCACTGTTAGATTAATATGATTTCATCCAAATTAGCTATGTCACGACTAAATCTGTCAATGCATCCATTGCATACAGCTTCAGTTTATCATATAGTCGTTTGCACAATCTCCAAGTCCTGCTACTGATAATTTGATACTAATGTGGTAAAAGATTAATTATTTATTTTAAGCAATACTAAAAAAAACAACTTGACAACTTGCTCAACATTCCTCATTTTWATGCAGTGATAACTGCATGCTTTTTCATGTAGGACTTTTTTCTTGTAACATTATGACTTTAATCTTGTAATATTACAATTTTATTTTCATAATATTATGATTTTAATCTCATAATATTATGACTATTCTCGTAACTTGTAGTTGCATTTTCTTTTATTTAACATCTTATTGCGGCATAAATTTCATCAGCTAAGTTGCTAAACTCACTTTTAAAAGCAAATTCTTCGGCCCGTGGTGAATTTCTAAACTGCACTGACTCGTTAAAAAAATWAAAACCCCACTGTCTTTGTTTCTGTTTATTTTGCTGCTCGTGCATTGAATCCTGGGACATCCTAGGCCAGTGAGGATACACGGATGCATCCTCGGATTTCGAGAGTTTGTCGGCCGCATTCCTCGGCCGCATGATGTGGAGCCTTTGAATTGGAACAGTCCTCCGCGAGGGGCAGYGACATATGCAGCCGACAAATTCTCACTCATGAGGACCCAGCCCCTGAATTGAGACAGCCTGTGTAAGAACTGGTTTGTGAATGTGTGTATAGTCTGAATGGACTGACAATGGGTATTTACGTAAAATCCATGGGATTTGCCAATTTAAATAAAGGTGCATACATTAAAACTTATATTTAAAAGCAAAAACTGGTAGCAAGATGTTAGCTTGTCAAAGTGATTACAATTAAACTTCTACTTCTCCAAACTGAAGCAGTTCACAAAGCTACCTACAACAGATATTCACTATTTATAACCTCTCCAAAGAACCCCATTTCAATCTGAACTTACCCTTTAAGATATTCAGCCAAATTACATGTGACGTCTCTGCATTGCAAGCCATTTGCCAGATTTTATTTAGCAACTTTTCTTAAGTACCTTTGCAATGTGTTTTCTCAGCAAAAAGAAAAACACATTTTGTAGCTCCTTTCTCCCCTGTGCACAACTTTAATCACAAAGCCCACCTTGTAAAATTTCCAAATTTTTCAAATGTCCTTAGTCAAATAGGCACTGAACACACACCAGTGGAGCTCAACTCCACACTCACGTCAGCTCACACTTTGCCACAGCTGTGCACCTAAATGAGCCAAGTGTTTGCCTCCTTTTTTTCACGACCATTCTTGGTTTTCACAGCATTCTTTTACCGCTTTGTCCCGGTGCATTCCTTCTGGTTGCTGAATGATTCAGAAATCGGGCTCTGTTGTATGAGCACACACTCTGTTGAAAGGTCACTTTTTGTTGAAGGAAACTGGCTGAAATTTAAGGTCTCTTCAGCACCTTTCACAGGTCAGTCAGCCACACATTTGTCTTAAACTATGACCCAATAGAAACATAGGGAACTAAAAAAAGACCAAAAACAAATAACAAAACCAATCACATTTAATACAGAACAAAGAAAAAAGTGAATGTTAATATATAACAAAACAAGCATTTCTTAAATTATTACATGTGTCCTGCTTCTTTGCATACTAAAGTTTTAAACAAAAATCCTGTGATCTGTTTGTGCTCAGAGTACGACAACTCTGATACTTACGCAAAAAAATTCTAGTTCAGTTTCTATAAAACTCACTGAGTTGCAGCTATTTTTATGTCTGGCAAAATAAATATCTTACATACTTCATCTTGAATCATGCTGACACTAGATGTTAATCAACTGTAGAATGGAATCCAATGACAATTCTCAGAATGTTTCACCAAAATCTATCTAGCGGATCATGAAATATTTTACTAACAGTCTGTTAAGACCCCAAACGTTAATGCAGAAGATTTTAAACTATCTGTACACTGGATGAGTTATGGTTACTTTTGTGTTGGCCAGTGATGTATAAAATACCACAAAGTGATACTTGAGTAAAAGTACAAGTTTCTTACCAAAAAATTACTTTGGTAAAAGTTAAAGTTTTCTTTTGAAATATTACTTGAGTAAAATAAAGTATCTGATATTTTTGTACTTAAGTATTAAAAGTAAAAGTATTGATTTAAAATGAGCAGTTAGATTTTCTGTAATGACATTTATTAGGTTTTGCAAAAAAT